CGATTTCCACGTGTCGATTGAATGAGTTGGTCGAAAGCAGCGCTTCAAGGATCAGACGTTTACCCTTCCTCTTTGCCCTTGCCCCTACTTTTGCGTCACTGATTCTGACCTCGTGACCTGGCGTTGCGCAGTGGTTCCAGAGGTGTGACTTCGGGTCGGCGCGTCGTAGTGCAAGTGTTCGTGTAGGCGAGTGCACAGTTGTTTGCCTGTTTCTCCCACGTACCGTTGGTCGCAGTCTAGGCACGGAATCGCGTACACCACCCCCGATTGGTCGTGTGGTTTTACATAGTCTGCCGTTGAACAAGATTGACCGCAGCGTTGTTGTAGGTTTGTGGGCAATGGTGACACCCAGAGGGCGAAGGATGTGATCAACGGCTTCTGATACCCCACGTATGTATGGTAACAAGAGTTTCGTTTTCTTCTCTTCATCCTTCAAGTTTCTTCTTCCCCTAAGGCATGATTGGACGAAACTTCTGGGGTATCCACTTGTGTGGAATTGATGGAACAAATGCATTCGTTCCTGATTCCGAAGCTCCTTTGTGCTGCAATGTGTCTGCACGGCGGAATAAAGTGTATATACAGCTTCTAAGGTGACACTAGGGGTGATTGCTGTCGTAGTTCAGCGCCTGCTCTGTCGTGGGTTTTCTGTACACAGTGGTTTCTGTTTCCGTCTGGTTTTCTTATGACGAGGACGTCTAGGAAAGGGAGCTTCATGTCGTTTCTCTTCTCGCGGGTAAACGTTATCCCTGGCATAACATAGGGTATCATGGAATTGTTCGATTCTTTCTGCCGGTAACACCATAAAGGTGCGTCCACATATCGAACCCAGAGGCGAGGGTAGTATTCTGCAAATGCCTTGGTTTATACATATATATATATATATATATATGCAGGATAGAACAAAGAATTCCGTAGAACACGCAGTATAACGAGGATGGGAGGAGTGGTCCAAGTAAACAAACGCCCTTCTGGGAGGTCACAGACCAAATGATAAAATGTATACACGATTTCCACTTTGTCCTGTTACAGAATCTTCAGTTTCAGATTGTGCAACCATCCCGTTGTGGCGTGCGCAAGAGAGGTAGCGGTAGAAAGACGAGAACATCGAGGTAGACCAAGATTACGAAATGAGATGCACGAGCACCACTGTTTACGGCACTCAGCGATATCACTCACCGCATTGAACGGTCGACCACACTGATTTTCAGGTCACCAAACGGAAAGTTTGATGTATACAGTATGTAGTTCAAACATGCCTGAGGACAGATTGTACCAAATAAATCACTGATTCGTATGTGGGCCGAATACTGCCAGGTTGCCCAGGCCAAGGTAGGTTAACTCTTTTGAGGGGCCTTCGGTCAACCAAAACCTGTCCCGCAGGGCAGCGGGGCGGTGTGAAAACCGCAATCCATTGGGGGCCGGTATCCAATTCACTGGATCATACGCCCTTTGGACTGGGTCAAACGTCCAAGGTGCCAGTGCACTTCGATGCCCAATTGCGCCGGTGACCATTGCCACAACCGAAAAGGTGTGGGTGTGGCTCTTACGCCTCCTCATGGTTGGTTTGGAATCAGGGTTTTGGCCAACTCCCCTAGGTGAACTGCCAGTGATCCAACAACTCGGTATAGTCCCGGATATTGGCTTTTCGTCCTCTCACTTTGGTGAAAAGCCCCAGCCACGAGAAGGCCATGAGTTGGGCCTCCTCTGAAGAGGCCATTTGAGACGCTTGGTCTTATGGGAGCATTTCACAAGTCGCAAGGGAAGGGCGACCAGCCGAATCCTTAGACACCCAACCCCGGACCATGCTGAGGCTTTTGGAAATCGGGTGCGAACTTCCTTGTTCCGGGGTTTCATCCCCAGTGCCATGTCCTAGTTTATCCACCTTGAAACTTCTCATGGTGGATAAACTTCTCATCTATCATCCGCCTTGGCAAGCATCGCTTAATGGAGCAGAGTGGATGGATGTAGGTCCAGAATATGAAACGAATGCAAGTGGGAACCGGCTAACCAACTCAACCGAACCAATTAGTTAATCAATGAGTCGCATGCACTGATGTGAGACCAGACTTCTATTTCATTTTTGCACGATCGCCAATGGTAAGGCAAAGTTGGAATTCTAACTCGCCAACCGTAATGCACATGCCCAAGGCCATTCCGAATGAATTTAGGAAATTTGAGAGTACACCAAATATAACACTTTCCATTCTATTGAGTACACCACAACAACTGCAGTTTGATACAGAATGACAATCTGCACTGTGAAACATTTTTTCGAAGGGGGAAGTGCACTCATGGATTGAATGAGTGATTCCTATGCTGAGACTCGGCACAGGTGAGATGGATGTCAAGAGAGAATAAAGCGCAGGAAGGACATCGTTCTTTGCAAGAGAAAAACCGTAATGCTGGTCCTTAGTAACGAAGTTCACTGAGAATCACCGGGTCAACACGAACAAGGGTGTAGTACCATCGGTTTTCCAAACTCTCTTAGGTTTACAACCATATTTTATTGTCCATAGCGAGGAAAATGAGATAGCTGAAGGAAAGAATGTAATGGTAATGGATTACCTGCGCCACACTTGAATACCCGGAGTAAGAAAATATCCAGAAGTTTAAGTGAAGTCCCAATTCAAGAAAACTTTGAAGATCATACCACATTTGTACACGGGCAAGTTGGAAACCTAGCTACAAGTAACATTTAGATGTGGATGACCTAGACGAAACCTATGCTGGAAGAGGCAGAGAAAGTGCTTCAAACAACCGATGTTCGCCGTGCACTTATCATTCAAAACAGTCGGCGAATGCGATGACTCTAGAGCATAGTGTAGATCATTACNGGTAGCCAGTCCACGCAGTGACTCTTGGGCACCTATCGCTGCAAGTCATACATAGATATCGTAAGAGGTGGGGCTGGGGTACATTGGACAGACCTATGGGACATTCGCAATCAACGGAAACGGAACAGCGCTTAGACAATGCGTGAAAGTAACTGGTGGCTCGAAAACAGGTACAACACCAAATCAATGAACCTAACCACTGCTGAAGACAGTATCAGCGAAAAAAATCTCAATGACGGTTCAGAATAAGCTGTATATTGCAATATGATCGCTTCCGAAGAAGCCGATGGACATATATAAATGAGTATAAATGACGTCACTCTTGAATGTAGTTAACAGAAGACGCTTCAAAACCGAAACTTCCATTGCCGTCAGCAGCCTCCGGTTTGAGCTTGGAATACTTCGATAGTGTCATTTTCTTCCATTTCAAGCTAAATACAATACCACTCTAATCCATAAACTGATCACACTTACGGAAGCAGGAGTATGCGTGTCGTGAACGTTATTACCATCAAATATAAAACGGACAGACATGGGTTGATAACCCTGACGAATGAGTAAACTGATTAAAAGTAACTAACCATGCGCTCACAGTAGGCATTCATCAGCTTGCGTAAAGGAGTGCTCTTCTTTATCTTGAAATGTACAATAGAGCCCTCCTGACCCTGTACCTTCAAATTTATGTGTTCCGATGAAGAGTCCTATGAAAAATGTGATAGAACTTATTCTAAACGGGAAAGCAACCACCAAAAGCGCTCAAACAAACCTTATTGGTATTGTTTGCACTATCTCCCATTTTCACGTTCAAACGCGCGCGCTACAGTGAAAGCGCGCAGAGCGAGCAAAGTGCCTGCAGCTACTGTTATTTTAAAGAGTCTTGAAGTCTTGAAGTCTTGAAGTGACTCTCGGGTTCGAGGCTGGCGCCCAATGGTCCCGGATCCTTGATGGTTTCTTGTTTTCTGTTCTTGGAAGATGCAACTGTAAAATCAGAGAAAACTGGAGGGGCAATATCTTCTTGCCCGGGGGCTATTCTGGCATCATTAAATAGTACATGTAACAATGAGCTATAGTAAAGGGCAGGCATAGAATAGCTAAGAACGGCTATGGTAAAATAAATAATAAAAGAAAAACAATGAAAAGTTTTTTTTTTGTTTGTTTGTTTGTTTTTTGTTTTTTTTGTTTGTTTGTTTTTTTTTTGTTTTTTTTTGTTTTGTTTTTTGAGTGTATATATGAGGCTTTTTATAGGAGGGCTCAGGAGGAGGCAACTAGGCCTAGATACTTATCAAGTCTAGACTTGAATGACGCTTTGCTTGTTGAAGA